ACACTCTGCTGCTTAAGTACTGACAAACATTTTACCTGGTTAATATCCACTAAAAGCGATCGACAGTTTCAAAACGACATGATATTTTCAAAACAAGACGAAACAATGATGATCTCGAGATTCATCAGATTCATTGATAGACGYCCACTACGTGATCTGTTTTCTACATGTTGACCAAGAATTGGTGTCTTAAATCAAGCATTCATTGTATCACATCATAAAGATAGGAAAACACTTGTAAACAGAATTGTTGTCGACACCCCAAAGATGCTTCACATATTAGAAGGAACACAGGACGTCATTGAACATGCATGACTGGAAACAGTGTGATATGAAACATCTAATTAATCTCAGTCTCTCTCGAAACTCTMAGGGAACGCCTGACAGAAAAAATTATCACTGGTAAGGTCTGGCAAGGGAATAATTCAGAAAGACACAAGACAAACCGAAAGAAAGTTTATAGATGTGAACCCACTTTTAAAAGTTAATACGCCATAGACGTTATCACTGTTATCGTATTAACTCCCCGGGTTACCGGATTAATAGCTGGCCCAAAAAAGCGAAATTCATTTAGAAAGTAATTATCTCTCTGGTCTCGTAGAGTGCTTTCGGTAAAGCGTGAAATAGTGAGACACTAAGTACAAAATTGTGCAAAATAGTACGTCTAGTTGAACTGAAGAAAACAAAAGAATTCGGCACCTTGATAATTTAYTGCTAAAAAATTGCACGTTCGATTAGGTTACAAATCAATAARATATTACGAATACTAAAATTCCATTTTATATCTTACTTCAATACTTCAATWTAGTTTACTTATTTGTGTCATCAAAAAATGCTCTTTTTTCTTGTTTACATTGAAAATACAATCCGATGACAAGAAAAACGATGACGCACCCTTTTTGACCAATCGCAGAGCTCAGATCAGACAATCGAYACAAACATGTGAACCTTGTACTCCTCATGTGAGTTTTAAGTTCAAGAGACATAAAGGTTCTGTTACTCATTGCAGTGGAGCTTGATCACAATAGACCCCTTGCAGTTCATGGGAATGCAGCTCCAACTGGAGGACAAAACAATGGATTCTAGTTCCCAAGAGGTTAAAAATCTTTTGTTTTGTCCTCCAGATGAAGCTGCCTTGACGTCACATGCAAGGGGTCTATACACTGGCCTCAAGACTAGATTTCAGTCAACAGCAAGTTGAATCACTTTTTGCTGTTTCTCTGAACGGGTACTTGTCTCTTCGCAAGRGAGTACCGATCTCATGTGTTGCAAAAGGAGCAGAAGACTTTGCTTGCTTTAAAATTACAATACCAATTTTTTTAAGTAATTCCTYGATTCCTTCACCATTCTTAGCTGATATCTTATGTTTCAGACTTTTTTCAAAAGAATAGCCTTTACTATTGAGAAGGATTTCAACTTCTTCTTCCCGAACTACCTGTTCCTCCACAGGGCAGTTAAGGCATGGCTCTCAGAAAAAATAGCGAATATTCACTAAATTTATTCTAAAAAATTGGCCTTTTAATAAATTTCCATCAAACTTGGCAAGTGTCTCCAAATTGATAAGTACTACATTTTTAGGACTTTTGTTG